CTGACATGAGGAGGAGGCTGGTTCAGGATGTGTGATCCCAAAGCAGACAGGCCGCATCCAACGGGGCCCCATGGCAGCATCACCCAGCCGACGCGCTTCCCCCATGGCTCCCTTCCAGCCGATGCTGTCCTGGCCTCCAGCAACCTGGAAGGAAGTGTCACTGCAGAGACTGGCTCAGCAGAAAGCTGGAAGCACGTGCTTGAGAGGTGGAGATGGCGGAGCCTGCAGAAAATCTAAGAAATCATATCACGTGGGGACCCAGACCCAGGCCCGGTGGTCAGTCCTCTCCCACGCGCTTCGTCACCACCATTGCTTCCTGTGCCCTTTTGAGCAATCGGAGGGCACCATCTCTGCCTCTGAGTCTTCCTCCACAGCATTAAACTCCATTCCTCCAGTCTGATCACATTCCCCTGCCCCAGCCCTCAGCTTTTCCCACCATACCCTAAATAAGGCTCACGGTGTGCTTCTGGCGAGAGTAGGCACAAGACCTGGATGATATCAGCTCATCCATGGAACTGATTTACTGGTAACCAAACTCAGAACTCTCAGGAGATCCACGATACCCGTTCACTAGCAGGCGGGAGAAGCCGGCCTGGCCCCTAGACGACATCTCAGTCGATTAGGTGCTCGCTTCCCCCCGACAGAGATGACATGGTGAGGAAGTTGAGGAGGTTGCTAGATAGCATGGAAGGAAGGCAACGGGGCTTAGGTAGCCTTTGGAGTATTTCTGTTAAACTGTTGTAGCCCAGTGTCATATTCTCCAGTCGGGCTTATTTCCTTTTCTCTCTCCCTGATCAGGGTGATGGCTACGCCATCTCAGATGAGGCCCTGGAGTGGGTGTTGGAGGCAGAGAGAGAGTGGCCCTTGTTCCAGATATTCTCCCATCTGAGCACATCCCATCTGTGGTAACCAGACTCCAAGGTGGCCCCCAATGGTCCCTGCCTCCTAGTATCCACACCCTTGTTCAGTTCCCTCCCATACAGCGCCAGGGTTGGTCTCTGTGTCCAGTAGAATAAGGCAGAAGTGATGGTGTGTCACTTTCAATATTAGGTTACAAAAGTCACTGTAGCTTCTATTTGGGGTGTCCTCTCTCACTCAGGGGAGCCAGCTGCCATGCCATAAATAGCCCTGAGGAGAGGCCCATGGGGAAATGACCTGAAGTGTCCTGCCAACAGCCATGTGAGTTAGCTTAGAATTGGGTGCTCCAGCCCCACTCAAGCCTTCAGATGATGGCAGCCCCATCTGACAGCTTGACTACAGCTCAGGACAGACCCTGAGCCAGAAGCCCCCAGATAAGCTACTCCCAGATTCCCAACCCACAGGAATGTGTGAGAGAATCAACATTTTTTGTTTGGCTGCTAGGTGTGGGGGCAATCTGTTGCACAATAGATAACCAATCCATCACCCATCCCATGACCCTCCTCCGTTCCTTCCCAATTTCTCATGCAAGCAGAGCCCCAGAAGATTCATCTCAGAGATGCCCGAACATGTGCGCCCAGTGGGGCTCAAACACGGAGATGCCCGTTACATTACTGACTGCACTTTTAGAGGGTTGCTTCCTGACCTGTCCTTGGGGTCAGAGGACGTGAAGGGGAGGGCCAGTCACCCTCTCTAGGGTCTGAGTACACATTATCCACCTGAGAGAAAAGGACATAACAGGAGCCACCTCACAAGTGTTTGTAGCCAAGAAGAATGAGGGCTGCCTGGCGGCCAAGGCCCCAGCTTCACCCGAGAGATGCGCAGACTCTCTCTGCTTCCCGCACCCCCTTTGCCAGCCAGAGAGCTGAACACACTCTCTGATGCTCGCCGTCACTTGGCCTGCCTAGAAGCTCTGTAGCAACCCCATCTGACAGAGGCTGGAGCTGTGCCCACAAAGCCAGGGCAGTTTGCTCAGAGTCGGCTAGCTTGATCAGACCGATTTAAGACAAAACAAAACTGTTGGCTGTTTCATTTCTATTGGAAATGTCTTGGACGCTAAAGAGACAGACATTTACTTTGCTCCAGTGGTCGATGTTTCCTGGTTTCATGATTCACTCTGTGTGTGTGTGTGTGTGTGTGTGTGCGCGCGCAAGATAAAGATCTGGGCTGTAAACATGAGATTTGATATGAGACCGGGGGGGCCTAGAGGACAGAGTAAGCTTTGTAGGGAAAATTAACTCTGCACTTAGCGTCCATCATTGTCCCCTGGAGGAAAGACCACCCATGCCCTGAACAGCCACACGCTGCCCCGACTGCCACCACCTCCGGAAAGATGGTGGCTTTTCACATCCCTAACTCCCTCGAATAGTTAGTGAGAAGGCAGCCCCCTTGTTTGATATGGAAGGATTCTGGCTCTTTTTCTCCCTGAGCCTGTGCTACTGTAAGCTCTCCTTAGCAGGCAGTGGATCTATCGAATTTGGAGAAAAGTACAATGTCTTTTTTTTTCTAGAAGGGTCATCAGGCCACACTGACTGAGCACTCAGCAGGCAGAACCCTCTGGAATTAGGGGGAGGTGGGGGAGGAGGATGGAGGGAGGGAGAGTGAGCAGAGAAGGCACTAACACAGATTCCCTGACCACCAAGGCGAACGGGGCCATGAGCGACATCAGCCCATCCGTGCAAGGTGCTCCCAGTCCTCTGGAGGGACAGCAGGCTGTGTGGCCTTCATATGCCCAGGGCGCCTTGTCATGGGGCACAAGCTCTCCCCTGCTCACCGTCATTCTCACTCAGCTCTGACTTTGGATGGAGTCTGCCATTCCACCTAAAAGCAGAGTCAGAGAAAGCCCAGACTCCAAGTGCAGCTAGCCAAGGCTTCCGACACCTCCGCCTTCTTTCCTCAAACTCAGGAGAGGAGCGTGTGGCAATTCTGAGTCAAATGACATCAGGCTCCCGTCAGCTTCAGGAGAAACCTACTGTGATGGCGTCACCGGCCCCCCATCCCCCTCCCCAGTGCCCATTGGCCTCGGAGCAGGGTGAGGGTGGCCAGGAGCATGTGTCTCAGGAGGCGGCCGCTGCTTGAGGTGGTACCACGCCCCATCTTTCAGAGGCCCAGCTTCCCTCCCACGGGGCCAGGTCTGGAAAAGCCCATGACTTCCCACTGGGAGAGGGGCCGGACCGAGTGGAACAAACACAATGGTCGCCCACAGCCAGAGCTAGTGCCATGTCAGATGTGGGTGAAGTGATCAGGCCCAGGGCTCAGAGGCCAGTCGTGGTGTCACTCACTCACGCCCAGGTCACAAGAAAGGGGGTGGTTGGTGCAGTGGGGCCCCTGCCCTGCTGGTGGTCACTTGTCATAATCCTCTGCTTCTCAGGGCACAAATCAGCATGTCATCTGTCTCTGTGACTGCTGTATGCCTTTCATCTCCCCAAGTAGATTATGAAGAAAGGCTATCAAAAAGATATTAATGTCCAGTAAGCACCTACTATGGGCTAAGTTCTGTGGCATTTAATCCCAACACATCCTTTGGGGAAATCATTTATTTTCTGATTTTTTTTTTTAAATTTTGGTGAGGAAGATTGTCCCTGAGCTAACATCTGTGCCAGTCTTCCTCTGTTTTTGTCCTTGGGATGCCACCACAGCCTGGCTTGATGAGTGGTGTATAGGTTCATGCCCGGGATCTGACTGAACCTGTGAACCCTGGGCCTCCTAAATGGAGCACGTGAACTTAACCACTACGCCAGCGGGCCGGCCCCAATATTTTAATTTTTATTTTGGTAGAGAATGTGGGCAATGGACTTTTTTTCAGCAAGGAAATACTGAGACCTTGGGCACGTCACTGGAGTTCTTCGCACCTTAGTTTCCTCTTCTGTGAGAATGAAATGAGATGCCAGCTTTGTCTGTGAGAGAAAACCCCCCAAAACATATAGAGACTAATTTTCTCATGTAAAAGTCTGTGTAGGGACTTCATAAGGCAGTGACACTACTCTGCATGACAGTATAATGGTGGGTACATGTCATTATGCATCTGTCCAAACCCCCAGAATGTCCATCACCAAGAGGGAACCCTCATGTCAGCTGCGGACGCTGGGTGCTGAAGATGTGTCAGCGTGGGTTCATCACTTGTGACAAATATACCCTCTGGTGGGGGAGACTGACAGTAGGGGAGGCTGTGGCGGGCAGGGGCTCTGTGGAAATCTCTGTGCCTTCATCTCAGTTTAGCTGTGAACCTAAACCTGCTCTAGGAAACTTAAGTCTAAGAAAAAGAAAGAGCCTGTGTAGGGGGTCACCTGAGAGTCCAGGGCACCAGGAATCCAGGTTCCTCTGTCCTGTTCTTCTTCTGTTTATGGTCTTCCTCTCATGGACCAGCCATCAGTCCATCCTTGATCCAGGACAAAGGAGACAGGAGGAGGAGGACAGACCCCCCAGCCTTTAAGGACACTTTCTGGCAGTTGCACACAGCATTTCTGCTTATATCGCACGGGGGGAGCTTACGCATGTACCACATGGGGACACGGCCTTCATCCTGGTCTCTTTTGCAGAGAAGGAAGAGAACAGGAACTGAGCAGCTAGCAGTCTGCCACCCTGAGGAAAGCATGTTGAGTGGGGCCTGGTACCTCATGGGCTCTTACTGTACCATTGCTGTTATAAGCAAATAAACAGTGTTTTCTGCAACTCCTATCACTACATCAATCGCTGGGACCTTTTTTCCCTGACGCGAACATCTCTCTAATTTCACCATAACCCATATCCATGCTGAGGCTGTGGCCAGTGGGCTCACAGTTCTAGACTCCGTGTTTTGGTGTGTGCGTGTGCATGCATGTGCGTGTGCGTGTGTGTGTTTCACAGGTGAAGACTGCAGGTGGCTCTGAAGGTCAGGCAGGGACTTCCTGAGCTTCTGGAGGTACAACCTTGGTGCCAGGGAAGGGAGGCAATGTGGAGCGCTGGCGGAGGCTGGAGCGTTTCAGACCCAGCTCTGCCGCAGATCCTGGGGGCGCCTGGTAGGGCCCCGTGCCTCCCATCGAAAAAGTGTATTTAAAACCAGAAATTCAGAAAGATGAACTTTGGGCTTCATCCCCTGCTAGGTTCTCAGAGACGGAGGCTCATCCCGGCGCTGTCCCTCGACACCCCCTCCCCCGTGAGGAAACCCGCCGGCGGCGCCGGGGTCCGCTGGGTGGACGGCCCCTTGCGCAGCACGCAGAGGGGCCTCGGGGAACCTTTCGAGATTAAAGTCTATGAAATCGATGACGTGGAGCGGCTGCAGCGGCGACGAGGGGGCAGCAGCAAGGTGAGCCCCCGCCTCCCCACACGGTGGTAGCCCCGGGCAGGTCCCGAGGACGGCGCTGGGGCAGGGTCCTGAGGAGGGGCCCAGGCTTCCAGGGTGGGTTGGGGCAGTGGCTCCGTCCCAGCAGGGCCTTCTCCAGGACTCGGGCGAGCTCCGTGTGCCCTGCCTGCCTGACGCGCTGGAGCGGCTCCAGGGCTGGGAGCCGGTGCTCTTGGGGTCTGTCTGGCTCCAGCCCAGAACGCCAGCTGCCCTCTACATTTCACTAGCCCTCCCTAGTTGGGTTGTCTGAGCTGACTGTGGAGGCAGGAGTCCGGCTGGAATGGCCAGGTCCCTCCAGGCTTGCCCTTTTTGATGACTGTGCACAGAAGCGGTCCCTTCTGGGGGAGGTTGCGCGGGCTGCATCGGAGCGGAAGGGCCTTTTCTGCTTCTCTCCACCACCCCGGCTCCTTCTCCTCTGTGTACTAGGAAGTCACGTGCTTCAATGCGAAACTGAAAATCCTGGAGCACCGCCAGCAGAGAATCGCCGAGGTCCGAGCCAAGTACGAGTGGCTGATGAAGGAGCTGGAGATGACCAAACAGTATCTGATGCTGGATCCCAACAAATGGCTCAGCGAATGTAAGGCCCGTGGGTCACTGCCATCCTGGCAGCCACCAGGTTCCCCAGCCGAGCAGGCCGGCCACATCGCGGGCCGAGGTGCGCGCAGGCGGGAGTCTGATCCAGGGCCTTCGGTGCCCCTTGACTGGAGACGGTCGCTCAGAGCGTGCAGTCCCTCTCTCGGGGGTCAAACGGTGGGGGTTGGGGAGCAGAGGGGAGGTGAGTATTGCTCTTGCAGGATTATTTCTCACATGTCTCAGTCCAAAGCACCTGAAAATGAGATTTTTCCCCTGCCTGTGGCAGAAGATCGCCCAGACATGAAGGCTGCATTACAGATCTGCTCCCAGGCCACAAACTCACACTGCACATCCAGCCTGAAATAGACAGGAATTTATAGAGCTCTTAGTAGGCTGGAATGTACAGTCCTAGAAGAGCCTCACAAAGGACCCAGACAGCAGGAAAAACACTTTTGAGTGAAAAAAATAACATTCACAGTGTTATTTCCATTTAATAGAATTCCAGGATGACAGTAACAGTTCCTAACAATTCAGAACAATTTCACTCTTTGAAAGACGATTCAATTGTCTCATTTATTTGTTCCTAATCATTCCAATGACCACCAAATAAAGCCCAGATCTAGTTCCAACTATTACACTGATAGGGGACCCAGAGCTGGAAGACGTAGTATGTGGACTAAAATGTGTTACTGCCATTAAAATTCCTTTCCCTCCCATTCCTGTCCGGCACTCGTCGGGCCTCCCTCCAGCCCCTCAGCCTCCCTGTGCCTCCCTCTCCTCATGATTGTCCCATGTGTCACATCGCCCCCACTCCCCAGGGCCCCTGGCAGTGGAGGGAGCATAGCAGGCAGAGTCTGGAGGCTTAGGTCTAAGAAATATTGGGTGAAATGATACTGGGTGAAGAAGAAAGCGACAGAATTTGCCAGCCTCCTAGCTGCGCCCTGCCCTTAGACTAGTGTGTCCGCTCGCGGATCCTTTTCCATGAGAATGAGGTAATCACATCTCCCCTGAGCACCTCACTGGGTTCTTGTGAGGACAGATGAAATAACTGGAGGACAGCCCACTGTGACCCGTCTATGAAGCATCCCGCCGTGCTGAGTTCTGCCATTGGTGGCGATGACCACAGTTGCGCAAACCCATTTTGGATGCTGGCTTTCCCACATACTAGCTGTGGGACCTTGAGTGAGACGCTTAACCTCTCTCAGCCTTGATTTCCTTAACTGTAAAACGGGAAACATAATGGTGCCTCCTTCCTAGAGCTGTTGTGAGAAGTGGACGAGGTCCTGTCAGTCAAGTGCTCATTACACTGCTCGGCCCATGATGAGGGCTCAGTAGCTGGGAGTCATTATTATTACCCTAGAGTTCAACTAGGTGGTTGTCCTTGACAGGAGACATTTCCTGAGAGCCTGCTCACCCGCTGCCTTGGGGCTGGGCCTCCTCAGCTGTCTGGACAAGGACGTCAACGCCTGCTCGCAAGGGTGTTTCCATCTGAGGCCCCAATGGGGCAGACAGGGGTTGACGTCTGCCGACAGCATGCACGGGAAGCCCAGCGCTCGTTTCTCTCCTTTCCTATCCTTCATGAGTCTCCAGGCACTTCAAGATCCCAGGGGTGACCATTCAGGCAGCTGCCCTTCATTTTTACTATTTTCATTAAAATTTTATTTTTGGAGAGCTGTTTATGCCTAAGGCAGGCTTGAAAATTACCATCATTGTACAAAGTCACATTTTCTCCCGGGATGGGAGCAAGCTTCAGCATGAGTACGTATGTGTAGATGCCGCCAGGAAACACACTCCCCTCTCGCCCTTGTACGTGTCAGGAGCCAGTGGTCTGTGGTGCTGAGAAAGGGAGGAACAGAAGCCCCCCTGAAAGGAGAAGTGCAGATGGTTCTTTAAGACAGACTGAAACAAGAACCCAAAAAAACAATGAGGCGCACGCTCACTTTTCCCTGGGTCTGGGTAGGAGGTGGGGTACTGGTGTAGAAATTTATGTGCTTGGATCCATTTTTATCTACATTTATTAATTCTGATGCACTTTTAAGGTGTCTGGTACTGTAGCCCGATGCGGTGACGGGTGGCGTGTTTTTTGTCTTTTGTTTTTAAGTATTAGACTGGGCTTAAGGAGCCCTCAGTCTCATTTCCAGCTCTGGTCCCTGTTGACTGTGTAACCCTGAGCAAGGAGCCCCACTGCCTGGACCTCAGTTAACTCACATGTCAAAAGCAGTCGGCCTCCATCACAAGCCCTTACGTTTCCATAGCATGTGATCGTTCTCAGACCACGCTCACTTCATCATCTCATTTCATTTCATCCTTCGTGGCTACTCTAGTCAGGCAGGGTAGGCTCTCATTTTCCTTTTAAGGAGCCTGGGCCAGCAGAGGTTGAGTGTTGCCCACCTAGGAGTCAAATGCAAGTCTCCTGCATTGGGTTCCAGGGCCATCCCTGCACCATGGCTGCCGTCCACGCCTGTCCTCCCCACGCTGGATCCCCTGCAGTAGCCCTGGAGCTGGGGCCAGGCAGCCCCACCCCCTGCCACTTTGTCACCATGGGACAGAGTAGAGGCCCAGGGCCAGGACGGGATGACCCCCAATAACTACTCTTTAGGAACTGAAGGCACCAGGCTTTGCATTCCGTGCAGGCCTGAATGTTAGGGACAGCATCTGGGTCCTAAGTCTCAGCTTGTCTTCTGAGTGCAAGGAATCTTAATTGTTAATATAGATTTATTTCATCATCGTCATATTTCTCGAAGGACCAGTGAGCATGTGAAATTGTACAGGAAGTGCCAGGAGACAGGGTCAAGCTCTCAGCCTGCTTGAGAGGCAGCTGCATATGGCTGTGGGAAGAACGAACCAGAGAGGGACATACTTAAGACAAGTAAGCAGAGGGGTAAACGTTGCTCAGGTGAGACCCCAGAAAGGAAGGGATCCCCCCATCTCAGCTTGAGGCTTTATCTATTTTTCATTAATAAAGAATCACGATGCTGGCAGAGTCTTCCTCAAATCCTGTGATGGAGATGGGCGGAGGTGGGTAGAGCTGGAATGTCACTTTATCCCTCAGTATAGTCTCAGTAAAGTGTTAGGGACCTAAAATTATAATTAGAACGAAAGGCCCAGGTATAATTTCAAGTAGTAAACAGCGTTCCGTCCTCAGCCTGGGAGAGGCAGTGTCGGCAGGAGCAGGCAGATCTTCTTTCCCCATCCGCTTCTCCCTCTCCGCAGTTGACCTGGAGCAGGTGTTGGAGCTGGACTCCCTGGAGTATCTGGAAGCGCTGGAGTGTGTGACAGAACGCCTGGAGAACCGCGTCAACTTCTGCAAGGCCCACCTCATGATGATCACCTGCTTTGACATCACCTCCAGGTGCCGGTGAAGACGCCGGCCCGGCCCCTGGCCCCCGGGACTCACGGCCGGTCGCACTCCCCAGGCCCTCGGTGCTGGCGGCGCTCAGAGACGACGGAATGAGGATGAAGGTCGGTGGCAAGTCTGGAGTGAGCGTTGAGCGGAAGGCGATTTTTCTTTTGTTTTCTGTAGGAAAGGTGCAAACACCAGACACGCATGGGAGGAGGAGAGGATGGGAAGCCAAGGGATGTGGAAGCCCCGAGAGACTGGAAAAGCACTTTGAGGAACTTTAAAGAACTGTTTGTACATAAGAACTGCTGGCGAAAGAGCCCTCACTCTCCTGGTTTCGTGAGAAAGGGCGAGGGCGGACGCAGGGTTGCTGTTGAAAGAGAAAACGAAACAACAAAAAATTACCAGAATGACTGATTAAGTGCCTTGCAAATCTTTAGTATTATCCAAACGTTTATGTTCATACTTTCTTGTGTACAGATGGTGCTAGTCGAGATGAAAACAACAAAACCGACAAAAAAGAAAATCAAACCCATTTTTGAGATGTATTTACAGCTCGTTTTCTCTCGGTGTTTTAGCCTCTTTCTGACTTGCTGTTTCTGAGTAAGTTGTGTTTGTAGAGCTCTTTCCTGGTCAGTATTGCATACGAATAAATGTTAACCGTCTTTCACGGTTCTTCTGGTGACGCCACTCAAACAGCACAGAGACTTCAGGGGCACAGCCAGTGTGTTCCAAAGAAGGTTGGCAGCAGGGGACGCCAGATGCCATTGGCGGGGAAAGTCGATCATGGAGCAGGTGCATCTGAGCTCGAGAGAGCAGAGGGGAGGGGGCTGCCTCTTGAAGGGGAAAGGAGCCCTCTGACCTGGGCCGCCTCATCCTCTGGCTGGGATGTATGTTCTGGATACGGTTTCCCCCTCCAAGTCATGACGCACGTACTGGTTCCTTTACTCACAAATCCAGGGTTTTCATGACCCTCAAAACATTTTCCATATTTGTTTTTTATTCCAAAGACTCTGGATAGAAAGCTTGAATCCATTCAACAGAGCCATATGTTTTTGCTCTCTAGTTTTGCGAGTCGACTAGTGCAGGAGATTTTGCGGGTTGAGAGACCTTCTCAGGCTAGTAGGTGCTGAGACTGCCATAGGATTGCTCTAGACCAAGAAGGCATGTTGGGATTGCACAACTATTCTGCTGTCCAGACAGCTGCGTAAATGTCAGAAGTTTCAGTTCTCCCATGTCCCAAAGTGTCCATCCCAACAAAGGACCAGGCTTGTCCCCTCAACCTTGGCACCTGAAGGCAGAGAGAGGTTTCCGGTCATACACCACACACCCCTGGCGAGGCAGAGCACAGAGTCTCATGCACGTGGATGTACAGGTCTTGGCTCCCAGGACCTTCGGACCTCACTCTCACATTAAGATGTCCATCCCTGCCACAACTGCTGTAGGGACCCACTGTAGTTATGGAAACGAGAGGCCCAAAGCGGGCAAGGGACTGTCTGAGGACAGCTGTGGAGCAGCGGGGGCGTCCTCTGCCTTCTGGCACAGGGCCCTCTCCCAGGACCCCTGCAGCCTGCCCAGTGAGGGAGGTGCTCAGGGTTTTACAGAGTTCTGTTCGTTTTTGCCCTCACATGCAGCATATCTTCATGAGCCTATTTCCAGGTGAGGCAGTCCCCACTAACCAAGTGCTCAGCCCCAGCTGCTCCCCAAGGAAAAAGAACCTTTGCATCTCTTTGTCAGTGCTCCTCTGGCCCATGTAACCCAGCACAGATGGCCAAACAGCCAAAGACGCTCAGCCAAATTCAGTAAACGGGAACCTGAGCGTCACAGTACCCGATCCCTTACTGGTCAAAGGGGGCACAGGTGGGCCCACCTGCTCTGTTTGGGAAGTCAGCCCCGCAGACTGGAAGCCGGCTCCGTGGATGACAAGCCCGGCTTTGCATCCTATGAGTCTGCTCCTCTGCAGAGGTGCTCAGAGAAGATATGCTCACATCTGAGACCTGAACGGGCTGACGTGGCGGAGGGGACTCTGGAAGGGACCGTTTCCCTCTCTGGTTTAACACGTGTGATCACCTGGGGAAGTCAGGCACCCCCTGCTCCTCAGCCTTCGGTCTTCAGGGCAGTCCAGGGCCCTGAGCACACCTCTGGTCCCACAGCGCTTGTGTGAACGGGTGTGTTTAATAGAAACGTTATGGAAGCTTTTGGACCCCAAGGGATGCCAATCTTTTGAGTTTGTTTGAGTTTTCCATTTGGGATCCCTTTTGGTTGCTGGGTTGAAATATACCACTTCATGGGGACTGTCAAAGGTGAGTATTCTGGTCTTTGTTGGAACAAATTCACTTGTCTAGTAAGAAGTGGACTTAGCTTTTGCCCCTAACACACCCTCCCCAGCCCCGAGGTCACCACACTGGGCTGACTTCCCTAGCAGGCCAGTGATGGGGCCTGGTGCCTTTCCTGCAGTGACATCAAGTGGAAACATCTACAGAGATTTGACAGCTCCATCCATGGTGGACTCTCTCCTAGGGGCATTGCCTTCAGCTTGCCTCCTGCCTAAACCTGCATTTATCCATTTGTAGCAACTTTATGAGATAGCAAAAGGGTTACATGAAACCAAGAGCTATCTGACCAAGTCAGATTGGCTTCCCCAGATGCCACACCCTGGAACATCTCAGAGGGTCCTCACCGCCGTGGGGTTAGAGAACAACTTTGCATGAGGTTGTCCATTCTGGCTTCTCCTATTTTTTTTTTTTATCCTCAGAAAGCTGACAACATCTTAATGTACCTAGTATTGATTAACCATTTGGAGAAATCATGAATTTTATGCCATGATGTGCTTGTTCCTGGTTCCACCTAAGAGTCGACTCTCAGTTGATGGTCTTTAGGGAAAGAGGAAAGCAGGTCTGGTCAGCCGTTCTGAAGCTGCCCCATAACTGAAGAATGCTTCATTCAGTGACCAGATGGGAGGTCGTTCCAGGTCTCCTTTTGGTGTTAGCGATATAACCCAAGAAGGTAAAGGAAATGTCAAAGAACCCATTTCCATTTTATTATCCACAAATGAAAAGACAAGAAGAATGTTGATTTGAAATTAACGTTTAGACACAGAAGCCTTAATTCCTCATCTGAAATCTGCTCCCTCTCCAAACGCAGAACAAAACTCAGATCCAAAAAAGGGAAATAGTGATACTGTTTCCCCGGGAGCACATCCATATTGCATTTCATGATGGTGGTTTCCTGCTGCGACGGAGCAATAGTTTGCTTTATCTTGGGCTTTCAATCCCCACCTGAGAGCTGCCACCTTTGATCTTCCTGTCCTTGAATTCCCCTCTCCGTCCTGGGGAAGCTGTCACTAACTTTCATCTCTTCCAGATTTGAAGTCAGCATACCTCGTCTGTTGTTTTATGTCCAATTGCCATTCTGAACATGGGGGACTTGATATGCAAATCCAGAGGTTGGTTCCGTGTTGACACAGCTGGGGATCGGACAAGGGACCCCAGGCTGCGGACGGGATAGAAGCTGGAATAAACAGTCATGCAGCTCAGAGTGGGGAACTCGGCAGGCAGGAATCCGGTCCATTTTGTCATAAATTAGCCTTAAGCTTGAAGTCTGTGTTCCTGGAAGGTGGCAATGACTTCACTGTAGCCACAACCAGGACGGTGGTTCAAAGAGTGATGCACACACATGCCTCTTGTGCTGGTTCTTGGATTTCCGTTTGTGTTGAGCAAGAAGCCCTTCTTCGGGCTTTAGATTCTAATGCTGATGCTGCATTTTAGTTAATCCATAAGCCTTTATCCCAGTTGCTAGGCTATGAAAGCAGCTGTCTGACCTGGGCTTCTTGAGATTGAAGACAAGAGCGCACACATTTGTCCACCTGGTCCTACACACACTGGCCTACTCATCAGCCACTACTGATCTGTAATTGAGGCTTCCAAACTAACAATGGAGTGGATGTTTTTAAGTTCCTTATTCCAAAAAATGATTTCAGGCTGTAATAAAATGACAAAAGATGAGGTGATTTCAAAATTGAAACCGGAAGAATTCATAGATTTACTCCTTGTTCTTTCCTGCTGGAACATTAGTCCCCTCTTTGAGCATAGACTGAAAGGTTGCCTCACTTTTCAGGGCATGTATTTTAAACCCTGAAACCACGCCTGTCAGAAACACATTGAGAGTCCTGTGCACGACCAGCTGATGCTGAATAAACCATCCGCTCCCTCGGTCCCTGCGGCCTGGGCAGTGCGGCCCAGCTGTCCACGACAGAGGGACTGTCTTCAGTGCTGCACACGTGAGACTTGACTGCCCCGAGAAAGGCCAGTGCAGCCCACTCTTCTCTGGCCCAAATGTCACTGCCAGTACCATTTTTTGGGGGGAGGGCAGACAAGTGGTAGAAATATAGTGTTCCTTTGGATAAGATCTCTTTCTCCTCCTCCAGCAAATATCTGCCAACATTTGTGGGTAAAAACTCACAAATTGTGTCACTTAGTAATCTTTCTGACAAAAATACATATTATTTTTTATGACAGAGTGTTCATTATTTCCAGATAAAAGCATAATTCCAATCCAGGAGAAGCTCTTGTAACTCAAACTCATGTTCTCAAAGTCTTTTGAAAATTCTTAGAAGCTAGTTTACCCTTTACACACACATTCTGCTTTTGGGTGGCCCTACTCAGAACCGGAGGTGCTGTCATGATATTGGACATAGAGTGGTGCCCAAGGTGGTATGGAGCCTTCACTGCAGATGATTAACATTCCCTAAGTATAGCTGTCCCCATGTCCACATGTGTGAGGGGTGAGGACTGAATTCTGGCACTCACACATCTATTTGATGTAGACATCAGAATTACCTTCAAAACTAGAAAGGCTCATTGCTTCCTTCCCCGTCCTGCTAACCAACATCCCACATTGTCATATTCAATTTATGAAGAAATTATCATTTATTTGTCAACTCAGGATGTTGTTTTCTAGTGTCGCTTGTGTTTTATAATTTATTTATACATCATGGTTGGAAATGCCAGCCAAGCACTATGCAGCGAAGTCTAAATTTGGTGACTCTATCTGTCTGTGGCTGTTTTTTCCCCTCCCTCTGGTGAGGTCTGTCCGCGGAGACATGGCCAGAGGGGAAGAAGGGTAAATAAATCAGAACAGGGATTAGGGTCCAGTCCTCAAAGTTCAACATCTCAGCTGTTTCTATAGTAAGTAGCTAAAGGGGAAAAGATGGCTTCATTTTGAATTTGATGATAATGGGCTTGGAAATAGCCTCCGCAGGCCTGGATGGAAGAGGATCCAGCCTCTTCCTGCTGGTTCAACACATTTCTGAGGAAAGTGCAGACAGTATTAGGTTCCTACGTTTCCCTGAAGATCCCCCGCCCCATCCGCCCCGGTGCTACGGAAGGGGGTTTGGAAAAGCAAGTGGAGCTCCTTCCCTGGGAGGTGTGTATAGCACCTGCTTTTGTGGAGAAACCAAAGCACTTTAGTGAGCCTGACAAGGCGTAACAGTTAAGGCGTCCTGTCCCCTTGCTGGACCCCGGAGTGGCCGGGAGGGGCTGGGTCAGAATGCTCATTGGAGAGGCAGCTAAACCTAGGAGAAAAGCCTTGAGCTGGGAGAAGGGAAGTCGGGGTGCAGGCCTGGGTCCTCACTCACTATGCAACCTTGGGCAAGTCGCTTCACTTTGCTGGGCCTCAGGCGCCCCACTGGCAGGTTGGGGGTCATCACAGCTGCCCTTCTGGGATAGGGTAAAGAGAAAATGGTGTAACTGATGGGAAGTGCTTTGAAGAAATGAAAGGTCTGTAGAGGAGCTGGGGATAATCATTGATGGATGGAGAAGCTGAAGTCACTAGTCAACGATTGGCCCAAGTTCACAGAGTAGTCTTATAGCAGAAGTGGGACTTGAGTCCAGCATCTTGGACTCTTCCCATGGGGTGTCACTGCACCAGGTGTGTGTATACGTGAGCACACGTCACGCCTGTGTACTGACATGTGTGTGCATGGGGGCGTATATGGATGCATGTGTACAGAAGGTATGTGACATGGTGGAATTGCATAGGACAGAAAACCTGAGTTCTCGTTCCAGTTTTGACAACAGTCCTATGGCCTTGGATATATCCCCTAATTTCTCTGGAACTCGGTTTTCTCATCTGTAAAATGAGGACATTGTGCTAAATGACCTTCGTGGTTCCTTCAGCTCCAGTCTTGTATGTATGTATATATAAATATGCTTATCTGTAGAAATGGGCCCATTTGAAACTTGGAGGCCAGGCCTGCTCAAGTGTGTTTATTGTGTCGGAAACAGCGATTCACAAACAAGTTCATAAAATCCTGTTTTAAAACTCAGTGGTGGTATTCAACGTCATTGTTTCAAATTCACTGTTTAACCAGATAAAAGATTGGTGCCGTTTTAAAAACTAAGTTCCTAGCTTACAAGTGTTTGCTGTTACCATTCTTTTAATAAAGCTCATTTGTTAAAGTCAGAAATGCAAGTATCCTGTACTTGGGCACGTCCCAACAGCCTGTTTGCAAACAGGCTGGGTTTTGTGTGTGGGCCTTGACGTAGCTGTGTAAAAGTTAGCTGTTGGCTTGATCATGATAAATATGAGCAGGCTACCTGGAGAACAGTCTGGAAAAGAAGGTTATAGTTCTCACAAACTGATGACATGACTCCATTAAGCTGTGTGCCATTTCCAGTGTGACGATATTGTTTGCTGGCTACGATCTCTGACTTTTTTGTGGCATATGAGGTGTAAAACGTTGTCAAAAAAGAATCTGTTGTTTAAAAAGAATCAAACTATGGTGGCATTAAATGTTCACTTTATTCTACTCACAGTCATGTCTTCTCTATCCAGTTTATCTTTCTGTATGGGGGGGCGGGTTCTCACTAGAGCAACGCCTTGGCCAAGGTCACCCCCCTCAGGGCCCTAGAAACTTCCCAGGACAAGGCCTGTCTCACCCACTGTGGGGCTGGCCTCCAAGCTCAGAAGCTCAGCCAGGGCTGGGGAGTGGCGGGGCCTGCGTCACAGAGCCCCGGCACTGTTCTGTGTCCCTGAGAGTCAGCCTCGGGGCTGGTGACCACACCTGAAAGGCATTGAGAAGCTTGGTGTGGATGCAGTGATGTTTGTTTTGGCGTGTCTGGGGCTCACACAGAATAGCAACATTCTCGGTCACTGCAGATTGCGTGGGCCTGGACACGTGGCCCCTTGTTACAATGGTGCTTGTCTTAACTGTAACTGGGTATGCTCAGAAAAGAAAGCGAAAATGAGAAACGACTAAGGTCTCCTAGGGTACCCCCGCCTCAAGGACAGTCTCTTCCACTGCATCATTTTCCCCTGATCAGCAAGGAGGCACTTTCCAAGAGGCTGATACCACATCTGTCCAATCAGCGGGGTGCCCCACAGTCCCAAGAGACAGGGCAGCCAGCACTCAAAGCCCACACACAGCTCCTTCCTGGCACGGCCCTGCTCTGAATCTGTCTGCCGCTCTGCTGAACTGGTGGGGATGCATACACCTCCCAGGCTCCCACCTTCCTCCTCCCCAAATCCTACACCGGACCATCTTGGATGCCCTTTGGGCTGCTCTAGCAGAAGCCACAAGTTCTCAAGAAGCCATAAAGGTTTTCTAGAAATAATGCCTTCAGTAGAAGAGCAAATGGAGATGCTGCCTAACCCTGACCATCCCCAGAGAGAACAGAGAACAGAACAGCAGCATCTAAAACTGGTTCCAAACCCTTACTCTTCCCTTAGGGAAAACTACCCAAATATACGATCTGAGCTGTGTTTGTCTCTTCCACCATTAAACTCTCAAAATGCTTTAACATTACTTTCATTCTTCCCATCCTTTTGATCCTGTCTTTTGGGATCAGGGAGGACACTAGCACTCTGTCCATCATGGCAACATGGCACATGCTTCCAGACGTCCCTGGGGACTGGAAGGACACAAAAGTGATGCTGTTTTCCAGCCAGAGCAGGTGGGCTGTCCCTGCCCCTTCATGGAGAAACATGTCTCACATAGGGCTGCCGCAGCGTCCGATGCTTCCACTCACTCCTCCCATTGAAGGCTTCATTCCCAGAAAACCCCTATGAACATACGGAGCACTGGAGGCGTGAATGCACCATGCTCCCAGAGCCCACGCTCATCCCCTATGAACATACAGAGCTGTGGGAGTGTGAATGCACCATGCTCCCAGCACCCGCGGGAGTCTCTTGTTCTCTGTATCCCCAGCATCTAGAACAGATCTTGTGACATACTGGCTACTCAAACAATATTAGTTGATGAAAGTGAAAGGATGGAAAAAGGTATTCCATGAAAATGGCAAAGGAAAGAAAGCGGGTGTAGCAATACTTAGACAAAATAGACTTTAAAACAAAAACTGTAACAAGTGACAAAGAAGGGCACTACATAATGATAAAGGGAACAATCCAACAAGAAGCTACAACACTTGTAAATATCTATGCACCCAACATAGGAGCACCTAAATATATAAAGCAACTGTTAACAGACCTAAAGGGAGAAATAGACAGTAACACAATAATAGTAGGGGACTTTAACACTCCACTTACACCAATGGATAGATCATTTAAACAGAAGATCAATAAGGAAACACTGGCCTTCAATGACACATTTGACCAGATGGACTTAGTAGCTATATATAGAACATTCCACCCAAAAACCACAGAATATACATTCTTTTCAAATGCCCATGGAACATTCTCCAGGATTGACCACATAGTTAGGCCACAAAACAAGTCTCAATAAATTTAAGAAGACTGAAATAACATCATGCATCTTTTCTGACCACAAAGATATGAAACTAGAAATCAACTACAGGAAGAAAATCAGAAAAGCCACAAAAATGTAGAGATTAAACAAAATGCTACTGAACAGTGATTGGGTCAATGAAGAAAGCAAAGGAAAAATCAAAAAATTCCTGGAGACAAATGAGAATGAAAATACGACATGCCAAAATCTATGGGATACAGCAAAAGCTGTTCTAAGAGGGAAGTTCATAGCAAGAAAAAACCCAAATAAATGATCTAACAGTACATCTAAAGGTACTGGGAAAAGAAGAACAAACAAAGCCCAAAATCAGCAGAAGGAAGGAAATAATAAAAAACAGAGCAGAAATAAATGAAATAGAGACTAAAAAAAAAAAATGGAAAAAATTAATGAAACCAAGAGCTGGTTCTTTGAAAAGATAGATAAAATTGACAAACCCTTAGCTAGGCTCACCAAGAAAAAAAGAGAGAAGGCTCAAATAAATAAAGTCAGAAATGAAAGAGGAGAAATTACAATGGACACCTCAGAAATACAAAAGATAATAAGAGAATACTATGAAAAGCTATATGCCAACAAATTAGATAATCTAGAAGAAATGGATAAATTCTTAGAAATATACAACCTTCCAAAACGGGACCAAGAAGAAGTAGAGAATTTGAATAGACAAATCACCAGTAAGGAGATCAAAACGGCAATCAAAAACCTCCCAAAAAATAAAAGTCTAGGATCAGATGGCTTCCCTGGTGAATTCTACTAAACATTCAAAGCAGACTTAATATCTATCCTTCTCAAACTCTTCCAAAAAATTGAAGAGGCGGGGAGGCTTCCTAATCCATTCCACGAAGCCAACATTATCCTGATACCAAAACCAGACAAGGAGAACACACAAAAAAAGAAAATTACAGGCCAATATCACTGATGAACACTGAAGCAAAAATCCTCAACAAAATACTAGCAAATCAAATACAACAATACATTAAAAAGGTCATACATCATGATCAAGTGGGTTTCATTCCAGGGATACAGACAGAGATGGCTCAACATCTGCAAATCTATCAATGTGATATGCCACATTAACAAAATGAAGAATAAAAATCACATGATCATCTCAATAGATGCAGAGAAAGTATTTGACAAGATACAGCATCCATTTATGATAAAAACTCTAAATAAAATGGGTACAGAAGGAAAGTACCTCAACATAATAAAGGCCATATATGACAAACTCACAGCAAATATCATTCTCAACAGAGAAAAACTGAAAGCTATCCTTCTAAGAACAGGAACCAGACAAGGATGCCCACTGTCACCACTCTTATTTAACATAGTATTGGAAGTCCTAGCCAGAGCAATCAGGCAAGAAAGAGAAATAAAAGGGATCCAAATTGGAAAAGAAGAAGTGAAACTGTCACTCTTTGCAGATAACATGATTTTATATATAGAAAACCCTAAAGAATCTGCTAAAAAACTTTTAGAAATAATAAATGAACACAGTCAAGTCGTGGGATACAAAATCAACATACAAAAATCAGTTGCATTTCTATACACTAACAACAAAGTAGCAGAAAGAGAAATTAAGAATACAATCCCATTTACAATTGCAACTAAAAGAATAAAATACCTAGGAATAAACTTAACCAAAGAGGTGAAAGATCTGTACACCGAAAACTATAAAACGTTGAAAGAAGTTAAAGAAGACACAAAGAAATGGAAAGATATTCCATGCTCTTGGATTGGAAGAATTAACATAGTTAAACTTTCCATACTTCCTAAAGCACATATAAATCTATAGATTCAATGCAATCCCTATCAAAGTTCCAACATTTTTCACAGAAATAGAACAGAGACTCCTAAAATTTATATGGAACAACAAAAGACCCCAAATAGCCAAAAGATTCCTGAGGAAAAAGAACAAAGCTGGAGGTATCACACTCCCTGATTTCAAAATACACTACAAAGTCATAGTAACCAAAACAGCGTGGTACTGGCACAAAAACAGACACAGAGATCAATGGAACAGAATTGAGAGCCCAGAATTAAACCCACACGTTAATGGACAGCTAATATCCGACAAGCGAGCCAAGAGCATACGATGGAGAAAGGAGAGTCTCTTCAATAAATGGTGTTGGGAAAACTGGACAGCCATATGCAAAAGAATGAAAGTAGACCATTATCTTATACCTTGCACAAAAATCAACTCAAAATGGATTAATGACTTGAATGTAAGACTCAAAACCATGAAACTTCTAGAAGAAAACATAGGCAGTACGCTCTTTGACATGGTCTTAGCAGCATATTTTCAAGTACCATGTCTGACCAGGCAAGGGAAACAAAAGAAAAAATGAACAAATGGGACTACATCAAACTAAAAAGCTTCTGCACAGCAAAGGAAACTATCAACAAAATGTAAAGACAACCTAACAGTTGGGAGAAGATATTTGCAAGCCATATACCAGATAAGGGGTTAATATCCAAAATATAAAAGAACTCATACATCTCAACAACAAAAAAACCAAGAACCCAATTAAAAAAATGGTCAAAAGATCTGAACAGAGATTTCTCCAAAGAAGATATACGGATGACCAACAGGCACATGAAAACATGTTCAACATCCTTTGTTATCAGGGAAATGCCAATCAAAACTACAATGAGGTATCACCTCACTCTGGTCAGAATGGCTATAATTAACAAGACAGGAAACAACAAGTGTTGGAGAGGATGTGGAGAGAAGGGAACCCTCGTACACTGCTGGTGGGAGTGCAAACTGGTGCAGTCACTATGGAAAACAGTGTGGAGATTCCTCAGAAAATTAAGAATAGAACTGCCATACCATCCAGCTATTCCACTGCTGGGTATTTATCCAAAGAACTTGAAAACACAAATGCATAAAGATACATGCACCCCTATGTTCATTGCAGCATTATGCACAATAGCCAAGACTTGGAAGCAACCTAGGTGCCCATCAAGGGACGAATGGATAAAGAAGATGTGGTATATATACATAATGGAATTCTACTCAGCCAGAAGAAATGATGAAATCCGGCCATTTGTGA